CCCTACACAAGGACCGGCTCCTCTTGGCTTCCGTTTTCCTGGGGACTCTGTACTCCGAGCCGTTTGGCAACTTTCATCATCACGCCAGGGGTCCCACCCCGCCGTTCCGTTTTCCTTTTTCTGGACTCCTTCCTGGTCCCACACCCTGCGGCAGCGTCCTTGGGTCCTCGAGGTGTGCGTGCACATTCTGTTTGCTGCGTGTCTGTCTGTCTTTCCCAGGCTCACCTCCCGGCTTCCCACTGGTGTCTCAGCCGCTGCGCCAGCTCTGGAGCCTCTGAGAGCACTGCTTGCTGTGTGCTAAGGGGACGAGACCCTGTGCTACTCGAGAGGTGTCAGTCAGGCTCCTCCGAAGCCCCTCCCAGCGAGGCCTCGACTCCCGTGTCTGGCTTTTCATCACCCAATTTTAGCAAGAATCCTGTTAGCTCAGTTGGACGAGAGACCCCTGGCCCGCCATCACCGAGAACCCTGGTTTAGCCAGAACCCCTGATGCAGTGATTTCCCATCCCCCACCTCACCTGCTCCTTGGCTGTCAATCCCTACCTTCCAGGCTGCATTGGGAATTCGGCCAGTTCTGTACTGAGGCCTTTTTTTGTCCCCATTGCAATGGTGCTGAACGAACCTGTCTCCATGGCTTTAACTGCTGTCCAGCTCTGGGCCTCTTGGGCAGCTCTGCAGAGCTCGGAACCTCCTTTGTGACACTGCTTGGCCTTTGAGGGGAAGCCGATGTCACCTAACGTGTGCCTCTTTGGCTTAACGATTACTTTGAGCTGAAACAATGGAGCAGAAACTGCCCTTTTGGGAGGGACGTTCGCACTGTTACGGAAATCTCCCCCTGTACGTGTCTCTCTCTCCGTACCTGATTGGGGGTGGCTCTGGATCAGGAGAGACTCTCACTGGGGAGAAGCCCAGATTGAAATCCACGTGAGCACCACACCCCGCCTTTCTGCTCTTCTTTGTCACCCCCATAACTGGCTCCCCGCCACACCCTTCTTTTGTCTTTCCCTCAGGGAATTCTGAGGGACTGAGAAGCTCTGTGTCAGCAATGCGGGGCAAAGACCACATGTGTGTTTCTGATCACGCCCTGGGTGCCGCACCAGGACGCCACAGACGGTGCAGCCGAAACACAGACTCTTCTCTCTGTTCTGGGGTTGTTTCTGGTGAGGCCTCGCTCCCGGCTTGCAGATGGCCGTGTCCTCCCCGCATCCGCACGTGGTCTCCCCTCCTGTGCGCATGGGGAGATCTGTGGGGTGACAGCTGAGGGAACCTCCAGTAAAAGGCACAGGGGCTGTGATTTCTCTGCTTCACGAACTGAGGTTCACGCGAGTCCTCACATGAGTCCTCCATGGTTGGGCCCCGCCCACAAGCCCCAGCCTTCGAGCCGGGAGGAGGCCAGTGTCCCCTCCCTCCAGCAGGGCGTTGGGGAGCTGGCTCTCCCAGGCCACCCCTGGCTCAGCCCCTCCCTCGCTGTCCCTGTGGCCAGTCCAGCCACCACGGTCCTGGCTCCTGCTGGGTAAACACGGTGCCCACGTGATGCCAGCCCTGTAGAGACTCTGGGGCCCACATGTGACTTCAGGGATCTCCACTCAGCTCCCTGGGAGCAGCTGCGGCAAGAGCGGGACAGGCCGTCCCCGCCACACCAAGGCCCACCTCAGGCCTTGCGTCAAGCCCCTCCTTCCAGCCTGGACACTGGGCCACACCTGGTTCTAGGACTCACTCTTTTGGAGGGCGGGTGGGCAGGCAGCTGAGCACCACGGAGTGAGGGACCCAGACCCCAGCGAGGCCCCAGCACACACTTGCTGAATCTTTATTGCACCTTTACCACATTGCAAACTATTCCACGAAAATGCCGTGAAAGTAACCAGCTGCCCAGCCACATGACTGTGTCACACACGTGCACAGGCTTCCGAAGCAAGTCAGAAGGTGCTCCGAAGGCAGCCTGGGCAGCCAGGTAACGACCGGTCCTTCACGTCGCCCAAAAGCTACGCGGTGTTCATCTGTCGACGGGAGTCCGTGACAGCCTCAGGAGCCTCCTGCAGCCCCAGACACCTCAGTCCCGGGGAGGGAGGAGGGTTTTTACTGTACGTTCGGTCCAGAGGGGGAGCCCCTCGCAGGGGCACTTGGCCCTGCCGGGCGGCCCTCCGTGTCATTTGCTGGGTGGTCGGGGTCTGCACAGATGTCTCTATTAATGTACATTTACACCAGGTATAAATACAAAATAGTAAGTAAAGGCTTCCTTTCCATACAAAAGGGTGGTGGGCCGCCGCCAGGCTGCCTCTGTCCACGGGGGCGGAGTGCGCTCCCGCCGGCCCGCCCTGGTCCGGAAAGTGAGGACGCGCGTCCCCGGGCAGCCCGTCCGCTCCTGTGTTGGCCCGTGCGCCCCGGCAGCTGGCCTGGCCGCGGCTCGCGGTCACTACCTCCTGGCAGAGGCCCTGTGCTCGGGGCTGAGGTCGTCCTCCACGACGCCGGGCAGCCCGTTCTTCCCCACGCAGTCCCTGACCACCTGCAGCACGATGCGCAGCCGCCGGTCCAGAGCCTCCAGGTGCGGCCGGTACAGGACAGGGGCCACGCGGTCCCTGCGCAGGGACTCGGCCATCAGCAGACTCAGCTTGTACTCTTCCTTAGCCAGGAGCTGCAGCCGCAGGTACGTGGACCTCCTGATCCTGCGGGGAGAATGACGTCAGGCCGGCACCGGGAGGACGAGCCTGGCCGTCGCTGCAGCCGCCCCGAGCGCGGTGCCGGCCCAGCCCCTGGCCCACTCCAGCCCCGGCCTCTCAGAAGCACACGGTGAGGGTCCTGCCTCCAGGAGGGGCCCGGGTGGGCCCAGCGGTGTCCAACGGGCCCCTGTTACTCCCGGCAAACGGTAGCAGGGAGGGAGGCAGCCCCGGCTTGGCTTGCTCGTTGTCTGGGCCGGGCGACCCGGAGCTGCCCCAGGGCCGAGCAGGTGTTTAGCCCCACAGCCTGTTTCCCCATCTGCTAACGGAGGGGCCGGGCTGGGAGCCCCGAGAAAGGTGGCAGAGTGGGAGCCCCGGGCTTCGGTGTCTTCCGCTGCAAGGTGGGCTATTACGGTGACAAGGAGCCGGGTCCCGGGAGGAGCTCTGGGAACTGCCGGGGTGGGGACAGGAAGGCTCGGCCTGGGCTGCGGCTGCGGTTGCGGCTGCGGCAGCATCCTGCCTCCTGTGCCGTGACAGGGCCAGCCCAGGGGTGGGGCCCTCGGGGAGGGGCAGAGCCGCACCTGCAGCACTGCTGTAAAGGCACCAGGATGGAAAGCTCATCGTGGGAGTATTTTCCAAACCTGCGGGAAGAACAGAGCTGTGGAGAGGCCACTCGCAGGGGGACTCCGTGCGCAGAGCCCGGGCACTGGGACGGGAGCACCAGAGCAGTTGGTACCCGCGTGGGCCCTGCTTGGTGTTGCGGGGGCCTGGCCCCTGCTGTCCAGCCCTGGGTGCAGCGCCTGGGACGAGGCAGGTGCCTGAAAGCAGCCTGACCTTCTGGCCACCGGACTGAGCAGAAGTTCGAAAGTGAGAGGCCCTGGGCAGGCCGAGTGGAGAAGGCTCGAGGGCGGGTCAGCCTAGAGTCCAGCTGCAGGGGCGTCTTTTACAGCTGGGAACGAGTGACCCACAGACGTAACTGCCCAGGTGCCCAAAGCTGATTCCCCTGAGGCGTCTGAGAACTTGCAGCTCTGACCGCTGGAGTGGTCTGTCCCCTGCACACACACCCACTGCAGGCCTCAGTCTCCCCAGCTCACAGGCTCACAGGAGTCCTGGCCAGAACCCTGTGTAACATAGGGGGGCCTTTGGGGGCTGTGCCGTCCCTCCCCACAGAGCGCCTGCTCCCCCAGGTCTGGGTGGGGACGTGGCCAGCCCTTCGCTGCGTCTGGAAGGACTCACCCTCTCCCATTGTCTAAGTGGATGATAAACGTTTTGTTCCCAAACTTCTCGAAGGTCTCGTAGTGATGGCGGTCCATGTTTCCTGTAGGGACAAGCCTGCTGGGAGCCTGTGTGCAGCTCAGAGGCGGCCCCTCCCTCCCCCGTCTGGCCTCCAAGCTGGCAGAACCGAGTACAAGCAGGACCACGGGGGCTGGATCTGTGTCAGGCATTCCCAGGGCAGGCCGGTGGCCCCGGACATACCCATGAGGAAGTCAAAGATGGTCATGTCCATGATGTCCAGGATGCGGTGGCTGCTGTCGTAGGGGGGCGTCTGCTTCACCTCCTCGCAGTAGTCAGGGTCAACCTCCCACCTGCAGGGGAGCCAGCATGAGAAGGGCGGGCTCCCCTGTAGACAAGGTGGACCCAACCAACCTCTGGGGCTGCCCAGCTCAGTACACCGGGTTCACGGGGCAGCAACAGGCACCGGGTGAGAAAAGGCGTCACCGCAGAACAGAGTGTCTGCAGCTGATACCGACCAGCGGTGGGGTGAGGCTGCATTAACAGGAGCATGGGGCTGGGAGGTGATGGAGCCACAGCACGCGGATGCCACGTATTTGGGGTGGGGGGAGCCTGAACAGCACACTTGCAAGGACGTCTCCGTGGCTGGAGGGACTGTGTCTCTCTTGCAGGAAGAGCAGGGGTCTGAAGCCTTGCCCTAACACGGACGGATCCCAGTGGCCAGTGAGCACCCAGTTCCCCAGTGAGGGGCCCTTTCTGATCATCTGCTCCCACACACTTGGCCCTGCCACTCCTCACACCAAGCTTGTTCCCTGCTTCAGGTCGGGCAGAAGCCAGCCCTCTGGAGAGCCTGGGGAGTCAGGATCCTGGAGTCCCCGCCCAATGTGCCCCCGACTCACTCTGCCTTCTTGCGCTTGTGGTATGAGCGTCGCCAGGGGTTCCGCCAGGTCTTCCTCTTGGCCAGGGCCAGGTCAGGCAGAAAGGCGGCCAGCGAGCCCTCGATCTGGTCTGGCCGCCCGCACAGGGCGTGCTCCGTGGAGCAGTAGTAAGAGCACTCCCCGTAGAAGCAGATGTTGTTGGCTGTGGGTGGGGGACACGCAGGCAGTGGGGCCACTCGGGCAGCGTCCCCGCGCCGGCCCCTCCCGGACATCCGCCCTGGGCCAGCGTGTCTGCGCCACACCCGACTCGTCCCTCCCCTGGGCAGGGCTCACCCACACTCTCACGCCTGACCTCAGCTGCCTGCTCCAACCCCGCATCACAGACCCTGGGGCCACACAGCTCGGGACTCAGAGCTCAGACCTGAACCCGAGCTCTTCCTCGTTACCCTCGAAACTAAGTCTGGAGTCTGTGGGGATTCTGTCCAGTGGCTTGAAAAAGGCCCTCATACCAAGAAAAAAAAGTGAGACTCAGCCGGCGGGGAGAGGCTTGCAAACCGTAAGCTAATAAGCATCCAGTATTTGCACACAGAAGAGCTCTTACGTCTCAGTAACGAAAAGATGAACAACCCAATCAATAAATGGGCAAAGGAGTTCAAAGGGTATTTCTCCAAAGAAAATATAGAAATGGCCAACAAGGACACGAAAAGATGCTCGACAGCGTTAGTTACCAGGGAAATGCAAACCAAATCCACAATTTCTCAACCAGTAGGAGAGTTTTGATCAAAAGAACAGATAATAACTCGTGTGTTGAGGGTGTGGAGAAATTGGATCCCTAACACAGTGCTGGTGGGAATGTCAAATGGTGCAGCTGCTGCGAAAAACAGTCAGAAAGCTGGACCCAGAACTACCACATGACCTGGCCATCCCACTCCCAGGCACACTCCCGAGAGGAATGAAGACACACATCCACACAGACACCTGCACACAGATGTTCACAGCAGGCCATTCCGGCAGTCAGAGTGGAACCAACCCACGTGCTCGTCAAGGGATGGGCGGATAAACACAGTGCGGTTCATCCATGAAGTGGAACAGTATTAAACCACAGAAGGAATGAAGTGTAACACCTGCTACCACGTGGATGAACCGTGAGCATCACGCCCAGTGGATGAAGCCAGCCACCGCTCACGTGAAACACCGGGAACAGGCAAAAATCCACGGGAAAACTGGCAGCTGCTGGGCAGAGCAGGGGTGACTTTGAATAGGGACGGGGTTTCTGTGGGGTGAGCAAATGTCCTGGCATCAGATAGTAGTGACTTGCACAGCACTGAGAACGTACTGAAAACCACTGAGCGGCACACTTCAAATGTTGGCTTGACGACGTGTGGATTGTACCCCCACAGAGAAGAGTGATTTGAGAAACGCTGGGCGGGGAGCAGGCCGCAGCCACGCGTCAGTGCTGGGCGCGGTGGGTCTGTCCGTGCAGTTACCAACCCGAACCATGTCCTCAGGGTCAATCACTTCCTTCCTTTGCTGGGGAAACAAACCCCGAGGCTGGGGTGTGCAGAAATACAGGGCCAGGGCCCCAGGCACCACTGCAGGCCCCCTTCCCTCCCTGTGCGAGCGGCTGGTTCCAGGGCCGGGGTCCCCCCTCCTGCTGCACAGCCTGCCCGAGTGACACCTGTGACCTTCTCCGGCTACAGGCAGCAGTCACACCCCCCGGAATGGAAGCGCAGGCTCGGCGGCTCCTCTGAGCACGCAGAGTCTCAGCCAGGTCAGGACACGGGGATGGGAGACAGCTCCCACACACCCCCTGCTTCCCCCACCTCGGGGTCCCGCAGCTACTGCTGAGTCATGACTGTCGGGCGATCAAAGAAAGATCAGCCTGAGATCTCGTCTGTGGAGACACAGTTCAATCTCAGCCCATTTTCAGGAGGAAAATACTTTTCTGAGCCCTGGAACTGGTCCCTCTAATAGCCTAAGCTGGCTTTAGATGGTTCACGTGAGAAGACAGGCAGAGCCTTGGGCCCACGGCCCCTTATTCATCAGAGACCCAAATCCAGTCTCTAAAGGGGCGTCCAGGGTGGGGCTCCGATAGCCCATGGCCTCTAGCTTCGCAGCTGTGCAGCCTCGGGGGAGGCCCTTCACCTCTCTGTGCCTCGGTCTCCCCTGAACGGGGGCTGCAGCAGTTTTGAGGCTGAGTGTTAAACCTGTGACCTGAGGGAGGAGTGAGGGGCCGGTCACGGCAGTGCCCTGCATGTGGAGAGGAGGGCGCTTGAGGAGGCAAGTCCTGGCTCATCTTATTAATAATGACAGACAGCTGGGGGTGGCCGGGGCCAGATAACCAGGAGGGCCTGCCTGCTCCAGCCCCAGAGGACTTGGATGAGACGCGCTGCCTGGGCAGGGAGCCTCGTCCCCGCGAGGATCAGTGTTGATCAGAGGACAAACACCTGCCAGCCTGAGGGTCCCGGACGGTCCAGGTGCGCCGTTCTCTGAATGTTTCAGGGCTTTGCCGGCTGGAGGCTGCCAAGATGTCACGTGGGGCAGGGCTTCTGGGGGGGCTGCCTGAGGATGCCCGGGTGCAGTTCTGGGAACCCCTCTGGCCCTCAGTGGGACTCTGACTGGGCACTGACCACAGTGTGTGGACAGAGGCCCAGTGACCACCCAGCCAGACCGCGGCCGACATGGCAGGAAAACAGCCGATTTAAAAGTGGGGCTGAGTGGCTGGGAGGGGGCAGGAGAGGCTCCTGGGGGGTTCACACGGGGCCCCTGTAGAAGCCCACCGAATTTGCACGGGGGGACGCGGGCTGATCTCAGGATATGAGGCACGTCCATAGAAATCTGCCGGGAAAGCACGAGGAACGTGTTCCGTACAAGACGTGGGCTCCAGCCGCTGGCCTCCGCGCAGCCCCACCGTGGCAGGCACTCAGCTGTCCCACAGTCCAACGTAGCCCTGCACCTCCGGCCGCTCACTGCTGCCCCGGGGCCCGCCGGCAGGAGGGCCGCCTCCACCTCTCACCGCCGCCCCCCCCGGGCTCCCTGCCCCCCACTCAGGCCCCTGGAGGCGGAAGGGAGCTGGCGTGGATTAAAGTCTACAGGGAAGCTCGGCATCTGTGGCGATTTTGGCCTCCGATGGGTGCAGAAGTGCCAGCAGAGCCAAAGTGGTCCAAATGAATCCCAACAGATTTCATTTTCCAAAATGAGATCAAAGCTGGCTCCTGTTATTCTGCTGCTTAAGAGAAAAGCAAACCTTTCCCAGGGCTTTCAGGAAGAAATCTGGCTGACAGAGCAGGGGCGGTGGGAACAGAAACAGTCTGGTCAGAGAGGGTGGGTGTCAGAAGTGGCAGGCCAAGCTGAGCCTGCAGCCAGCTGCTCCGAGGAGAGGGTTCAGGAGTGCGACCCAGGTGGGGAACTCGGGCGCCAAGCAGGATTCTCAGAGAAACCCGCGGGGCCTGGGAGAGCAGCTGGGAACCCGAGTGGGTCCAGCTGTCGGGACCGACCACAGTCAGAGTGACGACTCTGCTCAGGGTGAGGACGGGTGTCGGCATGAGGCTGTGTACTCGGGGATAACCAGGGAGACCGACAGTCATGATTCGTGCGGAGGACAGGGTGCGACGCCAGCATCTCAGCTCATCTGCTTAGGCTAACAACTGACTCCATCTTCTGGTTGTAGAAAGGAGTCCCCACTCAAAGCCCAGGCTAAGGCTGCCTTTCCCCAGGAGAACACGGAGCAGGCATCAACTCGGAGGCCCCTCTGCCCCAGAGAAAGTGAAATCCAGCGCAGAAACCCCTTGATTTGTGTCCCTTTCTCGAGATTTCAAACTTCAATCCCTCCCTTTCCTTGTGGCAGGTTACATCATCCCTTCCGCTCAGGGCCCTCAACTGTCGGGGCAGAGCTCAGAAGTGAAAGAGAAAATGCGGGGACAGGCAACAGTGTGGGTGACTCTCAAAATAACCACATCGAGGGAAAGACAAAGAACATGCCCAACGCCACCCAGCCTCCACTGGCAGAAGCAACCCGATCCACAGATAGAAGGTGGGCCCCAGGCCATCTGGGGGGACGCAGGGGCGGGAGGGGACTCTGGGGGACGGACACGGTCACCATCTTGACCGTGGGGATAGTTCAGACTCCAAACGTCAGTTAAACCATTTAAAAATGGGGATGTGGAAACGATGGGCCACCCCAGGGCCTGAGCGAGGAATCCCACGCAGGTGCTCGGCGAGGCTGGGGCGCCTGCCGCTGTGGCTGCGTCACCTGAACCTTCCCACCTGTGCCATGACGGAGGCAGGGGCACACGCCCCCGGACAGGCCTGTCCCGCCCATCCACGCGGCTCGGGCACAGGCAAGGTGACCCCGGAAAGCCCTCAAAGACCCCTCCCGACGCACAGGCTCTCACTTTGCCCTTTGGTTTCTGGTCACATGGGTGAGACACTGACACAAAAGGGAATGAGAACCCTCCTGCCTCGGGCGGGTGGGTGGGTTTCTGCCCTACTTTCCTTTCTTTATGGGCTCTGAGAGGAGGAAGCAGACGAGGCTCTCGGTGAGCAATGGATGACAAACATGGAGCTTCATGAAATTAAGGACGTGTGGGCCTCAGTTCTGATGAATTTATGAATGCAGCTGAGAAGCGTGCCGAGTATGTCAATCTGAACATCAGTCTACAAGGAAGGAGTTTCTAGGCCGGGCTTTTATTCGCCAGCAGGTCTTCAAACACAGATAATCCAGGGCCTTATGTGGCTTCTGTCGGCATGAACTAACCGGGGTGGGTGCCAGGCATGGCCGAGGCACTCCTGCAGGGGGGCGGGGGGCGAGGTCCACTCTCTGTGGATCTCGGTGTCCCAGCTGGGTCACTCCACTCTGCTTTGCCGGCATCACTGGGACAACTCAAAATGTTCCAGGATGAAATACAAGAGAGTTCTCCATGGCTCAAGCCTAGTGAGCGTGGGCACCTGGAACAGCTCAGCGCAGGGCCTGGTGCAAAGGAAGTGCTTGGGAAAGGGATGGGCGGATCGTGGGGCCCCAAGTGCCACATCTGAAACAGGCTGGGGCAGGTAACTCAGCAAAGCGTGACTTACGTTTATGTGTGCATTTAAGGTTTACAATACGAAGTCTTGAAGGTTTTCATAAACGTCAGCACCTCCTGGTACATGGAGCGTGCAGGGTACCCGAGTGCCAGGGGAACCAGGGCCAACCCTCCCGGGGGCCAGGCGGAGTCGCTGCTCCCCGCCGGCACTTGGTGGAGGAGCGGGGGGCACACGGCCCCTGCCACTATGGGAGGGTCTTGCTGGGGTGTTTTAAATCTGGGGGCGTCCAAAGGACGGAGTTCCCCTCTGGCCGGGCCACCTGGAGGAGGCCCCCCAAGAGGTGGCGAATCTCCTTTTGCCTTTGGCAGGAACAACATCTATGCCAGCCGGGGGCGGAGTCAGGAGCGATCAAGGCTTTTAGACTCGGGTGTGTGGCGCGCGGTTACCTGGGGAAGTGAAGAAAGTCCTCCACAGCCTCTTGTCCCGCGTGACGTCCCGGATCTCCCGGGTCATGTTGACCATCCTGCCGGCCACGGGAGGGACCCGGCGGAAGTCCAGGATCCTGGCAGAAGGACGGGGACGGGAGTCCTCACCTCCGCGCCCTCAGCCGCCCCCACCGGAGCTGAGGGGACACCTCACCCTCCTCTGTTAGGCCCAGACCCCTCACGTCGGCTGCCCACCCTCCTCCCCAGCAGCAAGCGGCCCGTGAGGCCAGAGAGAATTTGCGTGCTGCTGGCAGAGCTGCCCTGAGACAGGTGATCACGGAGGGAAGGGGCCCAGCTTTGCGAGACTCATGGCCTCTGGTCTTGCCAGAGAGGCTGGTGCCCCGCGAGTCTCCTCTTTTCTCCCCTTTATTCCCGACGGCCGGCTCTCCACCCTGAGTCACTTGGGCGACTCCTGTCGGCCAGGCACACAGCAGGGCATGGCCATGGGGTGACAGTGCCACGAGGGTGCCGGCAGGAGGGCTCACCTGTCCAGGTGGAAGGCAGCGATCTCTGCGTTGTGCCTCTCGTAATCGGAGAAATAGAAGAAGTCAGGGGGTGTCTCCTGCTCCCTCGTTTGCCTGGGGAAAATGGAACAAAACAGAATTTTATCAAAGAGAAGTCCTGCCAGTGGAAGGGGGCGTGTGGCTCGTACCAACTCCGGGGAGCTGACTGTCGAATTCCCAAGGATGCTGGGAACAAGTCGTTAAATGTAGTCATCGTTAAAAATTAAATTATATAGGGAATTCCACGGTGGTCCAATGGTTAGGACTCCAAGCTTTCACTGCCGAGGGTGTGGGTTCAGCCCCTGGTTGGGGAAGTAAGATCCCACAAGCTGTGTGGCATGGCCAAAAAAAAATTAAAAAAAATAAAATTATATAAACCTACAGCTAAATAAGTTGCATTTAAGAATAACCACTTAGGGCTTCCCTGGTGGCGCAGTGGTTGAGAGTCCACCTGCCGATGCAGGGGACACGGGTTCGTGCCCCGGTCCGGGAGGATCCCACGTGCCGCGGAGCGGCTGGGCCCGTGAGCCATGGCCGCTGAGCCTGCGCTCCGCAACGGGAG